GCTGCTGAGTTTGCATATTTTGCTGTGAAGTACAGCCAGACTTTTGACCGCTTCGCCTTGGACATTTTTAATCTGTAGCTCTGCTCTAACTGAACGTACGTACTTGGCCCCGCCTACTATCCTCGGAAACGTAAAATGATTGGCTAGAATCTAAAGTGTATCACAGCTCAGGGGAAAAAAAGCACCGAAATAAAGCACCGAAATGTGCGCTGCTTTTCGGTCTGGTTACTACCGTTTATGTCAGAACCGGTGCCATCATGGCACCGGACACCGGTACCCATCCCTATTGCCATCACTAGTGTGTGAATGTGTGTGTAAATGGGTGAATGACTGAATGTAGTGTAAAGCGCTTTGGGGTCCTTAGGGACTGAGTAAAGCGCTATACAAATGCAGGCCATATATCAGTGCTGATGTGGCAGTATTCCTTGAAGGGCGACAGTCAGGAGATTACTGCAGCGGCTACATGCACCTTAACGGCAAAAATTTAAAAAAAAAAGTGACTGTTAAAGATATTACTGGTGAATCGTGAAGGCGGGGCCCCTAAGCTGACTACAAAATGTAGACCATCATTTGCAAAGCTGTGTGTAGGGTCTATAATATTCACAGAATAATGGAGCGTCTCGGTTTTAGTATTTTATTCAGTGCAATCATTAATACGGCTTCGATAAAAGCAGATCTGAGCTGATGCACGTGAAGATTAGCTGAAGAGGTTAATTGAAGGTTACAATTTATTCATTGCGTTAGAGACGTATTCGCTTCATGGTCGCTCAATTTGCATCTGTCTGCTCAGCCGCATTAGTTATTTCGAAAAAATATCCTCTTCCAGGTGTATTGCTTTGCCCTTAACCAAAAACACATTTTGAGGACCTTGGTTCACTTCATCTAATGCATCAATGTTCCGTTTGCAGATGCTTGAATAACATCTAATTCGGGGACAAGCCATAACCTGGCGACAGGCTTGACATGTTTACAGGCTCGATTTAATAAATTCTGCTCCGAATGACGCATTTTGCTGTCCTTACAAACATGGTAGCTGCTGTTTGTCTCCTAAGTGAGTTGTTGTTGGGTTGGAGTACATCCTGTTTGGGCGAACAGGGCCACGCATGGTGAACAAATAGCCTTCCAATCGACTGATTTAAAAGATGAGTGTCGGAAAACTTGGTCTCCTCTTCACTCCAGTATCTGTATTAGTTATTGTTGCCTCACTTGGATGATGACTTAATTAAAAATATTTACTAATTACCTCCTTCAGAGAGTTAAAGTATTTTCTCTTTTAATCTCATTGATTACATGTGTATAAGAGGCGATTTTAAAGTGTTCTTTTGTTTCCATTTAAGGTCTGGCTGTCATGCATTTTCAAGACACAAACGAGTTAGACGTGGGGAACAACCCTAAAGTTGGAACAAAGCGCTACATGGCCCCTGAAGTGCTCGATGACTCCATCCAGATGGATTGCTTTGAGTCCTACAAGAGAGTGGACATTTGGGCCCTGGGCCTCGTCCTGTGGGAGATCGCCAGGAGGACAGTCAGTAATGGTCAGTACATGTTTTACACAACACTGTCCTGTTGGATTCAGCTCTGACCTGTTGTGATTACGTCACTAAGGCACAAGGCCATCTGTTAGTCTTGGATGGGTGTAGTAGAAACTATAAGAACAGCTGCAAATATTATGTACGCGATCAGAAAATTGGGCATGGCATATTTGTGCTGTTTGCAAAGATACTGCATTGAGGTGGCTGTAGTCAGGTCTTTCTTCAGAAACAAAACAAGTCATGGCTTCAGCTTGGACTGAGTAAAAGCTTTTTATATATTGATTTAAAGATGTAGCCTTGATACACTTTCTGTGAACTAAAACCCACTTCTTATCTTCACTGTTAAAGGGGCTTTAAGCAGGATTTAAGATATTGAGTGGACATCTCAGTCAGCAATCATTGTAATATATATTTTTATACTTTACACTCTTAAACTGTGCAATCTCCGAAGTAAGCTGTTCTTCTTTGTCTTCTTCTTGTAGGAATTGTAGAAGATTACAAGCCCCCTTTTCATGACGTGGTCCCAAATGATCCGAGCTTTGAAGATATGAGGAAGGTTGTGTGTGTGGATCAGCAGAGACCCAACATCCCAAACAGATGGTTTTCAGACCCAGTAAGTAATGTTACTTTTGTCAGAAATACACAAATGAAGTAAAATCCAGAGTTTTTAGTGTTTACATCAGGCACATTGATCAATTTCCATTTTTCCTCTTTTTTTAGACTTTAACCTCCATGGCTAAACTCATGAAGGAATGCTGGTACCAGAATCCGTCAGCCAGATTAACGGCGCTGCGCATCAAAAAGACTCTCACAAAGATCGACAACTCTCTGGATAAAATAAAAACAGACATTTGAGCCTTCCCCGAGAAGACGAAGCAGGCATGTACTGAGGGCCACTGAAGATGTCCGGAGGATGGACCACCTTAGAGAAAAATCTCAAAAGATAAATGACTCAATAATTTCAGTGCCCTTATAGTGGCACAGACTTATATTTATTTTAAAACATTTGAGGGACATATTTTGGCATCCAAAGATGGCTTACCAGGCATTTCCGAGACTGCCGATGGTCTTAGAAATGGGAAAATATCTATTTCAACTTTTATCATAGGAGCTTGACTATTAGAAATGTTCTTCAAGGAAGAAACTTACCAGGGCATTTGAGTAGGGTTGCTTGTTTTTAGAAGAGCAGATTTTGTTTGAAAACCTTTTTTAGCTTGGAAAATGTCTGAACGCGGTCATTTCTTTATCTCTTTAATTGTACTGTGTTGTTCTTTTGCATTACGGTCGATCCATTTGGAAAAGTTGTCAACTCGCCGGTTGAACTTGCCTAGTCAGTCAGCAAATTTTGTAACACAGTGAACATGTCGAGGTGTGTTATGTCTCACTTTGTGTCCAGTACCACTGTTTACAATGCTGTCAGAACAAGTTTCTTGGGATTTTATTCAGTTCTGTAACATTTAGTTGTACAGTCAAGTCAGTGGCACCATCCTTTTCCCGATATCGTCCAACTACAAGGTACTCTGTTGCAAACCTTTTGTATATCATCATTAACTTTACATTGAATTGTTTTTTTTTATCTTGTTTTGCTTCTTCAGCTTTACAGAGACGTATGCTAAAAGAACAAATACAATATCTGCTAGATGATGCTGAACTGTATTCCTCCAGAGGCCTGTAAGTAAGCCTGTAAAGCCTGTATATTGTCTTAACGCGTGCATTGTCGTCTTAATGCGTGCATTGTCAAAGTAACTGAAGTCAAACTTCAGCGTTTTTTAATTTCTTTAACATTTTATATCAATTAGTTATTTCTATTAATTAAAATGGGGAAAAAAAGAAGTAAATTACATCTGACTGGTGTCTTGATACTGTGTCGAAGTGTGTAGAAATATCTCAAAAGTCTGTAAAAGAAATTCACAACCTTGAGATCAATTCAAATGGTGATGCCTTCTCTTTTTCTTTGCCACCGCCTTCATCAGGCTCCTGTTCAGTAAATCTTTCTTCTTTTGATGTGACCTTTCTTCAGAGTCATCACAGGATATCTTGAAGGTTTAATAGATTTGAAGCAATACCTCCGTTTATTTCCCCCATAACCTATCAAAATTTTGGCAAAGTTTTCTTAATTTCGAGAAGTAATCCACAAGACTACAGAGAGGTTTTCTAGCCTCACCTGTAAAGTGTTCACTGAAACCTCTTATCATACCTTTGCTTTATTCCTGATTGGTAAATGTTAATATGCTAAGATGGAAAATTAGTTGTATGAAATCGAGTGGTTAGCCTCAGCATGCTTCTGCTGGCTCTACTCTAAAATGCCCATTTTCATTTCACTTTGTTCAAGCTGGGCTTTGATGTCAAGATGCTATTATGACAGCTGTTAATCTGTTAAGTCTTAACTATCCAGCTGTTTTGTCCTTGCACTTTCTGAGTACAGTGTCTGACTGTTCTGAACTTTTCCAGCTTCTACGAATCTAACAGAAAATTCAGCTCACAGTGCATAATAAGGACCATTTCCATCTCAAGTGGAATATCAGAGCTTTTTATCTTTCCAGCTAAAACAGCAGCTTCTTTTCTGACTGCTGGAGATGTGCTCTAACAATGCGAACAGTTAATTTTTTATTTATTTGGTGAAGGTAAGAAGCCCAAACTTTGGGGAGAGCAGAATTTGGCAGTGTCAAACTGGTTACAAACTAATTCATATGAAGAGCTATAGGCCAGATGATTGAATGACAACAGTGGGTGATTAACCATGCTAAGATGTCCTGTGTGTGTTGAAAACAGCTGTCAGACTTTTAAGGTATACAAGTCTTCATATTCAGTGTCATTTGATCCGTCCGGAGACCGCAGAGCAGAGGTTTGACTCCAGTTTTAATGTCCCATCCTGTTTCTTTGAGGTTTAGGGCTAGACTTGGTTGCACTGTATTCATTATCTGAGAGGGTGTAATGGTGACGAAGTATGTGTTACTTTTTTCCAGTAAGTAAATATCAAAATATTTGAAAGAATTTAAATGTTAAAAATGAACGATATAGAGTCAATTTATACCAGATTATATAAAGACACTCATGGATAAACAAAAAAGACCCAACTTCATGAAAATCCTACATCAATCCTACAGTCTTGGATGTTTTTTTTTCTTTTCTTAGCACCCTCAATAAACATTGTGCATTTGCCTGTCAGTGTATCTGTACAAGTTCTCATTTTTCTTATGTTGGTTTTGTGACTTGATGTTCTCCTAGTAGTGCCTTGATGAAGACTGTGTCAGTCACCACATTAGTAGTGATTCATTTTCTTAACTGCCAAGGACCACAGCTGGTGCAGTTGGAGCAGAGACTGTTTGTGCTGCGAGAACCCCCAAAAAGCCAAGGTTCCTGGATTCAGAGTTTACTAGTGGCTGCCTCACCACTTCTTGTTTGTAGACAATGTGCATACCGCCCATGAATAAATAGATTTTTTTTTTAAAAAATCCCGATTTTTGATTGTGTTATGATCGTGTAGTCTGTGAGATCAAACCTTCACTGTCCCTGGAGACATTGGCACCTTTTGTTGCTATGCAGCCTCAGCAGCAGAAACATGGCTGGCTGTAAATAACTTCTTTCATGCAGGTGAGTCCAGCTTTGAATGTACAGCAACGTCATTCACTGTTGATCAACTAAGTGTTTACTTTCTGCCTCACTAGAAGGGAGGTCAGAAGTGGCGTCTGTGCAGCCTAGTTTTTTTTTTATTCTGTTTTTGCTTCTCTCATCCAGGGAGAGCAGTTGGAATGGCCACAAGATAGGCTGACGGTTGGATTACCAAACTCTCAAAACAGGCAACTGTCAGATCCTCGAGGGCACCACACTTGCAATTAGCTGATTTTTTTATTTTTTATTTATTTTTTAAGGAGTTTGGAAGTACAATATTAATATTGGTGGGACCAGCGTAATTGTCATAGGCTGTATATAAAAGATGGGAGTTATCCACAGGACTGCAAACTCACATTTGAGAGCTTGAAAGAGCCTGAACAATGGTGGGCTAAAGCTGCCTTGGCATCCACCTGGCAAAGCAGCTGTACACCAAAGTTTTAAAGGGTAAGTTATCAAAAACATAATAGTAATAATAAAATCACCCTTGTACTGTTGATACATGTAGATCAGATACCATTAATAGCTTTTTAAACAAGTTGTAAACGTACTTTAAGCTGTAAAGCTGCAGTGACTTACTTTCTACAGCAAGCTTGAGGTGCCCACTGGAGGAACTGCACTTAAGTGTGTACTATAAGTGTATACTGCTAAGGTGCACAGTAGATATTTCTATTATGAATGTTCCAAAAAAGTGCCACAAACCTGTTTAAGATATTGATTCTGATTCGCTGCGATGGTGTGGTGAAGCTGTGTTGGTATCCACCTGTCAGTCATAGCAATCATGACCCCTAATCCCTAATGCATCATTTTAAGGCTTAATGACATTTTAACATGTTAACAGGCAGCTGCAAAGGAGAATAATCCTTGAGCAGTTTTTTTTTTTTTTAAATAAAGGGAAACATTGGCTTCCTTAGAGACCAAAACTGTTTTTGTAGCAGGCTGTAAACATGTTTTTAAAGTTGGGCTTTGTAACATGGGAAGTGACTGGCTTTTTGGGGTCAGCCTCCATTGGAGAAACTGAGGTTTTGGCATGTTGCATTGGCTCTATTTTTTAAGCCTGGAAGGCTGCCACTGTGCGTAAAGGGGCTCAGAGTACACATTCAAAGACACATTCATATGCCATATTCGTTCCTTCTGCATTAACTGACATTAATTGCACTCAGGGAAGCACAGAGTGCTCATGTGTTCATTAGGGAGCTCCGCAGTCTTGTTGTGGATTATTTATTAATAATGTATGGGTTGCAGATTGGCCAGATTGTGTGTAATTTCCACAGATTACACTGTAAATAGTTTAAAATCTCTGCACATTTAATAAATAAGTGAGATCTCAGTGAGCAGAGGTAATTTCCATATCCCTTTGGCAGACAGGAGGTGGTGTTTCATTGGACCGACAGCAGTTAAATGGATGTGCGACGCACTTTCTCTCTGGCTCCCATTCACATGTCTTTATCAGAGGTCTGCAGCGCTAATCCTCTTAAAGTCCAGTCAACAGAGGCGGAGCAAACTGCGTTTCTCGATCATTTACAGACGGAGACGTTTGTGGCGGGGGTGCATGGCCGACGGACTTTACCGCAATGTTTATTTGCTCTGTTTTCTGTAGAGTAGCTGTGTAAGCGGTGCGTCAGAGAGGGAGCAGATGCGGCTCTTACCATGACTCGTCCCGGGAAGCAGTGCTTTCAAGCGGCGTTGATTTTCCTGACTGTCGCCCAGCTGACTGCAGGTACACAGTCTCAGGGTGCAACATGATAATAAGCTGTGCCATTTGTTTTTTTTAAAGGTTTTTAATGAGTTCTTAGACCGCCTACACTAACCCAATTAGTATAGTTGGCTTTTCAAAATCACACAAAACTTTATAGCAATTTAAAAAAAAAAGAAGAAGAATTTGTCTTTAAAGATATGATCAAAAGTGGAGCATTTCTTTTTCTCATTTTGCTGCTGTTAAAAAGGTCTGAAAGTAAAGTTACCGCCCACAAACAGCATGTGTGCGGTGGGGAAGTATGGGTGTTAAAAGACTGTAATTTCAAGCTGTCATTAAGTAGGTTTGGCTAAAATATGTGGTCAGCTTTAGTACACATGCTGTGATGTATCATTTCAAAGACCTTAAAGCATTTGCCTTGTAGCCTGTTTGTATCTAGGATTAAAACGTTTTGCTTAATATGAAATAGAAATATTAATTATTTGTTTTCTGTGATTGAATTCATACTACACCCCTGAAAGGATAGTTCATCATTCAAAAATAACCTGGAGCTACTCTCATAACTTGATAACTGAGGTAATAATTCAAGTGTCTCTAAAGGGATTTGCAACTTTTTCTTGTCATATGTTTTGCTTTTGAACTACTTGTTGCCCAAAACTACATATTTGCTGAAAACTGGGCTGCAGAAAATCCTAAATTGAAGGCTTCACAATTTTCTTTTATTCTACAGACCAAACAGTTCATTGTGGAAATAGATGTCAGGTTAACTGATGAAAACAATCCATAGTTTCCACCCACATTCATGCTGCATCTTGAAGTGCTGTAACATTGCATTTGATATTGATGAAATACATTAAGAATTGGAGAATCTGCAGCTACTTAACTCCAGAGCTGGAAAACAGAACAAATGCTACTTCATAAACACAGCCTGGCTTGTTTGGCTGCTGGTGGGCTCAGGTACACAGAAAGACATAAACTCCAACTTAGAAAAACCGTGTTTGACTGCAGTGCATGTTTTACTACATTTCCAGTGGGGCAAGTAGATGGTGGGTTGAACTGGATGAAAACTATTGTTTAGCAAACTTTGTATGTCAGATCTTTGTCTAATGCATTTTGTTGAAAATAATTAAAAAGCACAAGTTTTTTCATCTGACATTCTCTGACTTAAGGTAAAAGGTTACAGGTGACTTAAGGTAAGTTGTACTAGTTGCACTCTCTTAGTCACTCTGGGTCACCTTTAGCTATGTAATAGCTTAATTTCTAATGCAATGATTAAGTGAAACTTTTAGAAACAACCAGTTATTGCTTAATTGCGCTAAATGCCTCTTATTGCTTAATGCCTCCAAATTATTCTACAAGCCTCGGTGCTATTCCTCTAGACACTGGAATTCAATCCGAATAATTGAGCTACTTAAAAGGTTAACAAGGCTCATTAAATGCAGATTTTCAGTAAAGCCAGAAAAATAACAAAGTAAAAATGTTTCTATTTCTACATTCTTTGCAGTGAACGTATTCCTTATTTGAGTAATATTGGGGTGATTTTCTAGTGTGGCAGATATTCCCTGTTTCCTGTAATTGTAAACACTTTCTCTGTTTTATTAGTGCAGATATTAGTTCAAAGGGACTCATCGAGTTTGGTCCACAGTTATAACAAGACTTCACAACACTGCAAATAACAGTATTATACTCCCCAACACAGAGAGAGAATTAATTTGTAACTGACTCTGGTGACGCCTGAGGAAATGAGTAATTATTCTTTCAGGATTGAGGGGTGCTGCAGGGCTATCCAAACCTGTTGGTTTATGGAGAATGATTTATAAATGTGAACAGCATGTGCAAAGTTTGCGCAATATTTCATTTAAAAGAGTACTCATTACTGTCACTGCTCAGATTCAGCTGCCCCTTCTAGGGTTTGTCACAAAACAAGCTCTAAAAGCTGCGAACAGTCATTTCAAAACGGGTTCAAAGCAAAGATCCACTTCCAAACTGAATGGATGTGGAATCAACTTTGATTCATTGTTGGTTTTCTTTTCACAGCTTTTTAAATGTGCACGCAGAGGCTTTACTACTGACTCCATGATCAAGTAAATATGGGGTAATATGAAGTTCCTGAAACAGAGAGAATTAAATATAGATTTGAAATGTAGTTATATATCATCATAAGATGGGGATTTAGAAAGAGGGCAAATGGTTAGACAAGTTTCCTGTTAAACTATTATGTTAGATTACGTGAGGTTTCACAGTCCCATTTATTGTAAGAAGTTGAGATTTTTGTTTCTGCTAATTTGATAAATTAAGCCAATAAAAATGTTTTTACTTAGAAGTTTTTGCGCCTTTTATAAACTCTCAACAAGATTTTGAACATGTATATTTTGGAAAAATAGTTTTGCCATTTAAGATGCACGATCCCCAAATCAAGTCTTCGGTCTCCATCAGTGTTATACAAGTGATTATATACACACACCAGTGCTCAGACGTTCATCAGCTTTAAGAAAGGAAACTCTCGCCGCACCTCGGTGTATTTTAACTTAATTGTCCTTGAACAGGTTGTTACCAAGCAACCCCAGCTATGCTATAAAAAGGCAAAAAGTAATCTCATAGTCTTCACCTGAACTTTTTTTGTGCAGATTTTGTCAGCAGGTCTCTCATCAAGACGAGCTTTACAAAAACCTTGAAAAGAGAAGATTGGTCATATTTCTAACTGTCAATCAGTCCCATTTAAAGACCAAAAGGATGAAGAGTTATTGCTGCTCAGTTGTCCACTGGGGATTATGTTCCTTTAATGAAGATCAAATTTATGTCTTCGTTCCTTCACAGTTTATCCATTTAGAGTGTTTTGTTTTGAGTTTGGGGCTGGCTGGAGAGATGTCTGCCTGCTCTTAAATTCAGTAAATCAGGTGACACGTGGTCTCTAAGTGCTTTATTTTTCTTTGCTGCTAAAAAAAAGAAGAAGAAATGTCTCTTTTGGGGTAAAAAAAAATGTCCATGAGCACTTTCATGCAGGAGATATTTCCTTTCTTCCGAACTACACCTGCAATCCCTGTCACTCTGCAGAAGGATTCATGTACTCGTGATGAGAGCATTATGGGATGTAAACATTAATGATGTCTTCTCTCAGCAGAGCTATAATTAGCTAGCTGCGCGCTTGTTTTAGTGGTTGTAGACTGTGGGAAGAAAATAGTTGTTACATGACACTGGTCAAAGCAAGATTTGTGGTTGTATTTCTTTTTCTTGTTCTGGAAAAAGAGACATCAGTTCTCTGTTTGTTTTTGGCACCTTAGTCACCACAAGGTGAGTGGCATTTTGTTCCATTATAGTCAGAGAGAAGCCAGACATTACAGCCAGCATGTCCAAAACTGGGCAGCTCGCATCAAAACCACCTGAATGAACAGCACAGCAGGCTGGAGGAAAAATATACTCTAATTGAATTTTTCAAAAACTTCTCCTTTGAGTCCGTACACCGCTGTTTACTGTGGGCTGAAAATGTTTTCACTTTAATGGTTAGGCTACAAGATGTTGAAAATAAAGATTATGTTTATAAAGATATTATTTTGTTATGTAATGATATTTGTTTAAATCCCCTTTTCATACTTTGGCTCTTCCAGATTTTAGGTACCATATAACCTCTGTGTGACATGCATATTGTAAGTCAGATTTACTTATAAGGCATTCATAGTTCATGGGAACTGAGCCAAGTGAGCAATGTGGTTCCAGATTTAGTACAAAACGCAGAGTCAATAAAAAATTGATCAGCTTTCCAGGAGATTCGCGAGGGAGCAGAAAAAAACAAGAGTCTGGAATAAACAGGGATTGATTTCTGATATCACTACGTATCAATGAATTTGATTTTTTTTTTTTTTAAAAAGCACACAACAAAAAAACCATAAAAATACAGCTGATTAAGCTAATTTCTTAACATTTTGCTTCCAGTGAGCCAGACTTTATTGTATTTTTAGAAAACTGGTCTCCAGGTTTGGACATTGGATGCTTTTTCACTTGTTTTCCATCCAGTCCTGTATCCAAACATTTTCAGAATTTGTTTTTGTTTGTTTTTTACATTGATCTATGTTTAAGTATAAAAAGGCGACTAAGCGAAGGAACTAGTGTTTATCCAGGCAATTATAACAGGCAACTTTGAATCTTTAGGCCTTTTGTTTCTAAGAGCATGTCAAAAAGAAATTATTCCCATTTATTTAGTTGAACATACAAAAACAGCATAAAGTATTTTTTGCACCAACAAGGTGAATTCCAAAGAGTTATCAGCAGAAGACTTGGCACAGCATGGTATTCAGAGGGCCCTTTGAAATTCTGTAAAAACTGGATAAGTGGAGGACAAATGAAGAAATGTCAGGGATAAAAATATCTACAGTAGATGGACAGTATCTGAAATTCATATCCTAAAGAAATAGGAAAAAAAATCCAGCTAAGACTTGACGCAGAACCTGCGAGATGCATCTGGTCCTTCAGTCATCAGAAAAGGTCTCAGTGGCTGTAAAGAAGCCATTCTGACAACAGGTCTTATGGCGTGGTGGATCCAAATTAAGGCGGTGAAGAATGACTTAAGATTATTACAGAGTACAGTAAGTAAAATAATTACTGCATACATACAGCAGTCATGACTGGAAACTGATTTAAGGTATTGTCACTTAGCTGTTGATAATTATATTTCAGGATCAGCCATCAGTGTCTATAAAAAAATGTATGAATGGGTGATACTTGTTACAAAATATTACAATTTACAAGATAAGGCTGTGGAGACCTTTAGCTTGAAAACTGAAGGCGCCATAAAAAACATTGCACACAATTAAATAATTAGCAATTTTTAAAGCTATTTGTTTTTCTTCCTTGTGAGCAGGCAGTGCACTCTTGCTTATCAGACACTGCTTATGGAACAAAGCATGACAACAGCTCCAAGTAGAACACAAGATTATGTGGGTGTTAAACTAAGAGGCATTAATCTGGTTCCTCCACCTCCATCCATTAAGAGCATAGATGTCATTGTGTAACAGGAGCATCCTGCTACTAAAGAGTTAAAAACCACTGTTCACACGAGTCAGTATATTGTCCTCCCCCCCAGCCCCCCTCAGTCACTCACAGATAAATGAAGTACAGTGACTGCTGTCAGCTGTAAAGTGTCTGAAGACAAAAATCACCAAATCTCAATGTCTTTCAGGTTTGAAGTGTGTGTGCCAGCTGTGTGCCAACAACACCTGTGAGACAGCAGCAGACGGTGCTTGCTGGAACTCTGTGATGCTGATCGATGGGAAGGAGGAGGCAGTGAAGTCCTGCCTGTCCCCCTCTGAGATGAAAGGCCAGGTCTTCTGCTACAGCTCCAGAAATGTCTCCAAAAGGAACTGTTGCTTCACTGACTTCTGCAACAACGAGACCCTGCACCTATACCCAGGTACAGCCCACACGATGCTACTAACCTGAGGCCGCTGTGTCTATTTGCCTCTACTATTTTTTTGGTTGCGTTTTGAAGCAGAAATAATACAGAGTTATATATAAACAGTGCACAGTGTGGTAATGCAGCAGTATGTGGCGAGATCACCTGGCCAGCTGGGGCCTCTCTGTGTGCAGTTTGCATGTGCGCTTGTGCGGGTTTACTCCGGATACTCTGGCTTCCTCCCAGTCTCCAAAGACATGTATGTTAGTTAGCCTGTCGTTCTAAATTAGCAGTGGGTATGACTGTAAATGCTTGTCTGTATGTTTGGGTTAGACCTGCAATGGGCTACTTGTCCAGGGTGTACTCTGCCCTACATAAACTGTGATAGCAGATACAAAAATGAATAGATTTATATATAAACAGTTTGCGGATATTGTAAAAATGAAATAAAGGAAAAATGCATTCAGCCCCTCAGACAGTCTTTTAATGTTCCACTGCTTCAGTAGCATACACTCAGCGGCAACACCAACTCAATCTGTGTGGGATTTCCCACTCATTCTGGTCCCGGCTAGACGAGGTGGATGCTGATCCTCCTAGATCCTGTGACATAACAAATCTGGCAGAGGCTATGGGACGTCAGTTAGTGATCCTCCCCCTCCCTCGCCTGATTTATAAATAAATACTTTGTCAGGCATGTAGTCCCAAAAGCCTCTCATGGGTCTGCCGGGTGGAAGTTGGGCTTAATGCAGAGAAGGATTACTCACACCTTTGTATATGCAGCTGGCTAAAAAAATTACTGAAATGGTTTATTTATTAAAAATACTGCAGATTATCAGTTGATTTCCTAATGGATTCATTTACTGATTGTTTCCAATTTGCAAGCAGAAAGGTATAGATGGTCAGTGAGAAACAAAACAAATATATGATCATATTCATATGTTTGGTGCTGAAGTGTCTGATGCTGCAGATTTTTAATGAGAGTGGTTGGGGCAGTGCCCCGAGGCCATGATGGTGCTGACTGTGAATGAGGACAGCGCAATCAATCTGTTCCACTGCTTTGCTACATATCAGCTCATCCGTTTAGCAGTGGATTTTTTTTTTTATACATAAAGAATTCATGACCTCGCTTTGACTTCCATGCATTTCTATACTCAGACATTTAAGTGCTAGGTAGTGTTTAGTGGTTTGTGTAGCTGTACAATTTGATTTACTTACTGAAGGGATACTTTAAGTGTTCCTTTGTACCTAATTTCCAAACTCCTCTTAGCTGTAGTAAACAGTTTAAAAGCAGATATAAGCTTTGAGATGACCCCAATCACCTAAGAGGGAAGAAAAGAGTGTGTAGAAGGTCTTATAAGCCAGAGGAGAGAGTAAGGTCTTGTTTTGCACCATATCTGCTGAGCACCAGTTGGACACATGGCAGGATCTGTATTTAGGTAAAAGGCTAAAGATGTCTTAAGAAACTGTGGTTTAGTTCACAATGTGTGTTGCTTTGCACATTGGGCCATCTGCAGATGTTGCACATTTTAGGATCGCTTGGTGAGGACATTTCATCCTTTGGGGACTTAGGTTTTTTCAAACCTTTATTTTTTTTATTAAAGTACCCACATGTGCACATATATGTTGAAAGAGTTAGTTGTAGCTCCTGAAATCCTGAAGTTGGCCAAATAATCGTTACAGAATTCTCCCTCTTTATTTCCCCAGACCAAACAAATTTAGCACTAGGTCATGGTAGTAATGCAGTACTGACAACACATTATTTTGCCAGCGTGTCTCTAAATCTCATATTATCACAGCGCCCACCCGCTCACCTGTTTTTGTTTGTGTCCAGGTTTTCCTCTGGCCACCCACAGACAGAATGAAGGTCAGGGACAGAAACGTCAAGTTATTTTGTTTTGCCAAGCCCAGATCTTTATTTGCGAGGTCTGACGGTGCACCTGTTGCTGATTAGTTTACTGCACGTATTTTTTGAGGAGTGAAAGCTTGCTGGCACTAAAAGATTCAATATCTTTATTCCTTTTTGATTAATGACACTTACAGGCAGTGATGAAATTTTTCAGACACGCATCTGCCAAACGTTCAATTTCCACCTCTCTAAAGTTTAGGGCTGCAGAATAAGTGGTGTTTTAATTTTGCTGAGCTTTTCTAAAAGTCTGAAAAAGCTGACTCATCTATGCTAGCTGGAGTTTTATGTAACACCTGATGTGTTGAGTTGTGCTAATTGCCCCCTATGCTGTTGCTTGCCATGTTTTCTAGTAACCACCAGGGTGTGCAGCAGACACAGCAGGGACCTTAGACCCATTAAACACAGTTGCAAATCTTACCCCATTCTACATTATACTGATTATTGAACCAAAAAAAGTACTAGGAATGTTAGAAAAGGACTACACGCTAATAATATTGGCTATGTTGTTGTTCAGAGAGGCCTTCAGAAGAACCCGGCTGGAGCAGGCTGCAGCTCATCGTGGTGGTCCTGGTGCCCTCCTGCTTGCTGTGTGTAGGGATCCTGCTAGGCGTCTTTGTTGTGCAGGGCCACCGTTGTGCCTACAGGCGATCCCACAAGCAGGACCCGGAGGAGCCTCTGGATGATCAGTTGCTAATGTCACCTGACAAAAGTCTCAAAGATCTGATATATGACATGAGCACTTCTGGTTCAGGATCAGGTGAGAGAACTGCTTGAACTTGTCACATGGTTACTGACACGATGGCCCGGATTGTGACCATTGTGGTACAAGTATAATCCAGTAATTGCACACATTTTGTTGATTTCTCCAGCTACGATCTGCTGAGACAAAACCACTGCTCTTCTCTTCCCGTCTGCATCTTGCAGGGCTGCCACTGCTGGTCCAGCGAACCATAGCTCGAACCATCGTCCTGCAGGAGACCATCGGAAAAGGTCGATACGGCGAGGTGTGGCGCGGCAAGTGGAGGGGCGAGGACGTGGCAGTTAAGATCTTCTCTTCCAGGGACGAGCGCTCGTGGTTCCGTGAAGCTGAGATCTATCAGACTGTCATGCTCAGGCACGAAAACATCCTGGGCTTTATTGCTGCTGATAACAAAGGTCTTACAACTAGGCACTAAATACAAATGTATTCACAAATTAAGCTATGAAATAAATTCGCCAACATATAACGTTGTCATTCGCTGCCTTTTTGCAGATAACGGCTCATGGACTCAGCTCTGGTTGGTGTCAGAGTACCATGAGCACGGCTCCCTGTATGATTACCTGAACAGGCACACGGTCTCAGTGGAAGGCATGATTATTCTTGCTCTGTCCATAGCCAGTGGGCTGGCACATCTCCACATGGAAATCATTGGCACACAGGGTATGAATGTACTTAGTAAATAAAGAACTTGAATTCTAGGACAGTGAAGTCACATCAGAGAGGCTCAAGGGGTGCTCTATTTCCTTTAATATATATATATATCTTTTAATCTTATTAAAAGGAGCAAATGTATTTTGGCCATGTGCTTCCTATATCTCAATGTGATATCTTTATATATTAAAACCTGAAGAAAAAATTTCCATTGACTGACCATTAATTTGCTAATCAACTCAGCGCTACAGTGTAACCACAAGGCAAACCCTGCTGTGATATGATAAGGTGACATTTTATGACATTAAGGCCGGAAAATGATCCTCAATTTTATCCATCTCTAAAAGACCCAAAATATTTGCTGTAATATAAAGAACATTTTTGGGGCTTCCAGAATAACCTTAATTGTTACTTTCTTGCTTCTAGGGAAGCCAGCCATTGCTCACAGAGACCTAAAGTCTAAAAATGTCCTAGTGAAGAAGAACGGGACGGCGGTGATTGCAGATTTGGGTTTGGCCGTGAAACTCGACTCCAGCACAAACACCATAGACATACCATCCAACCACAGAGTGGGAACTAAGAGGTTGGATTTATGTCACAATACAAAAAACACACACAAAACAGAAATGTGAAATTAAACTGAAGTGCCTTTAAACCGAAATCACTTCCGTGTTCTTTAAATATTATTGGTGATTTTGAGTTGTTCTCTCATGTCGGTGTGTTTTAAAGTAATACTATTAATTGGCCCTTAAACATTAAGAGGAAGCCAGCATCTTTGGTTTTGGTTTCAGCAAGAAAAGCAGAACCCACAGTAACAAATAAGGCCCTCCAGGTGTCATGCTGGAATAACTGGCCTTGTTTATTTAGAGAGTAATATTAGCCGTGTATGTACACATTGCACAAGGGGTTTCTGGCACAGCTTCACCTATTTCCAAGATGCATGGAGGAAAGGACAAAGTTTAAAGAGGTCAAAAGTGCAGGAACACATGTGTAGAACAGCTTCCCCCCCCGATTGATGCATAAATAATACTCTTTATAGAGGAGACATCATCATGTAGTGTCTGTGCACACAGTTCACACAGCCCGTTTGAGAAAAATGCTGAGTAAAAGTCATGAAATCTCAATTTATTTGGTGTGAGAGAACAAACAGCAGTGATGCAACTGTAAACAGTACAAAAACAAATGTATTTATTTAGCAGCAGTCCATTCTCAAGCATTTAGGCTTTGGCGACTCCTAGTGGTTGTGGACTTGTTTTTGGTCAGTCTATAAGGCTTGAGTAAGTGCTGTGTTTTCTTTTAAAGATGATATATTATTTGTCCTTTTAAAAAGTGATAACCATTCCTACAAGAGCAGCACTTGAATCTTTGCTGTCTTCAGCAATGAAGACGGATGCATGTCCTGCAGCTTATATGTTCTGCTGGTTTTGACGAGGGTGATGTGACCTGTGGTTTCACATTTTTAGAATTTGGGTGAGAAAGTTTTGAACCCAACCCACACAAACAAATTCGTTAAACTATATACTGCAAGAGGTACTGGGCTTTTTATTTCATTAGACAGTAATCATTCTGTCCTCTGCAGGTACATGGCTCCAGAAATCCTGGATGAGACAATCAATATAAACACCTTTGAGTCGTTTAAGCGGGCGGATATCTATTCATTAGGCCTGGTGTTCTGGGAACTGGCCAGAAGATGCTCCGATAGGGGTATTTCAAACTACGCACACACACATACACTCTACCACAAGTTTCATGCAAATTTCCAAAACAATACTTTTATTTTGGGAGCGACTGTGAGAGACTTGCTTTGCATAATGCACAGTTGAAAAAAAATCTTATACTGACTCTCAGTGCAGACTGTCTGAAATGAGCGGCCATATTAACGTCATTAACTAAGGCCTGAACTTGTGGCTCGCAAGTATTACTTGCACATACGCTGCCATATTATAGCATTACACTGAGTATCACCACAGTATGTAATCATAGAAAAAAGGAAAAGCCTGCACTGCTTCAAGAAGAGTGCATACATGAAACTGTAAAAAAACCCAGACAATAAACAAAATGCTTTTTTGTTTTTTGCATTTTCACAGGACTTCATGAGGATTTTCAGCTGCCTTATTATGACATGGTGCCTTCAGATCCATCCATTGAGGACATGAGGAAAGTGGTTTGCGATCAGAAGCTCAGACCCAGCATTCCCAATCAGTGGCAGAGCTGTGAGGTGAGACAGAAATCTGATGTGTCGTTATGTGAGATAGCTGTCAAAGAGCCGGTGTCATGGTGACATAAAGCACGATTAGTCACAGTTTAGCACCAAACCGAGCATCAGTGAACCAACAGCCTCTAACCACATAGGAAAATTTACAGTGTCACATATGAAATAGCTGTATCAAAGCATGAGCATGTTTAAAACTAAACAAATTACATGCTAAAAACAAACTTTTGTGTGTGCTTCTGACAGTATTAAACTTTGTCAACTTCATTTATATATAGTTTGGGAAAAAGTCTTTATTTCTTACTTTTTTAGCATATTTTTTACACTTACATGTTTTAGATCATCAAAAAAATTAATATTAGACAACAATAACCCAAGTAATAGCAATAGCTTTCTCGATTTGTGGATAACAGCTCGCACCTTGATTTTCTGGAGTCTTAATGCCTTCGAAATGGTTTTATAACTGTTTCCAGAGTGATCGATGTCACAGTCACGAGCAAATGATGTCAGGAGATCTGAAATATGCTTTAGTATAAACCGAGAAATGCAGTAAGATAATCTAGGGGATCTTAAAGCATGTATATGACTGTGTCTAGATTTTATCTAGATAAAACTGAGCAGACCTTACTGAGTCTTGTAAGCTGCAAACCAAGCTGCACAACTGAGGTGACATGCTTATTTAAGCTGAGGTGGCTGTCAAAGATTAGTCTGTTGTCCCAACTTTATACATAAGGAGTTCATGTAACAGCTATTGAGGTTATAGGTAATAGATATCACCCTCCATGCTTGATGCACTCTGGCCACAAACTACTACCTCAGTCTTATCCATAGGTCAATAAATTTACCATAATTTTTCCTGTGTACAACGCATCATGACATCACAAGTTTTGCCAGTTTGAGGGAGATTTCTTTATTCTACTAGGAAGGGAGGGAGTATATTATGTCATTTGTCTGTTTGCTAGCAGTCTAATGTCAACAGGTTTCAATGTATCATTTTAAAATTTTGTGTGATATTAGATACCAATAACAACTCGAGCTGATTTCATTTTGGGGAAAATCGGGTCAAGGTCAAGGCACCAAATTTCAAACTCAGTAAGAGCTTTTTATTACCCACAATTTTTATGGCTCGTCTTCAAACTTTCAAACAATATGCTAGGCCTTGGAGGACACGAGTACCATGATTGGCTAAGCATTTGACCTCGATAGGCCGATGTCAGCATGATGTAATAAAAAAACATCAAAGTTGTAGTATAGCCCTTGCCTTTCAGGGGGAGTTGCACTTTAGTGGACACTGTTCACTATCGTCACAGATATCATCAGAGAACTCTGTGATTCAAATATATACATATTACAGCCATATGAAAGTGGAAATTCTCTTAAAGCTTTTTAAAATGTACAGAAAACTTGATATTTAAGAAGTCAGGACGGCACTGGAGGGATGACACACATAGCAGTGGTTAACTTCAAGGCCTCGGGTAATGGGCTAAAAGTGATTGACAGAACAGGGTGAGGTCTGAGACTTCTTTGTCTCAGATCTCATTTCTTGTTAAGCCACTTCCCGACAGAAGAGAATTGGGCGTTATTCTGACACACCACTGTATTCAATTTTAGCTACCAAAAACTATTACTACCACTGCAAAGGCTGCAAAGATATTTGCAAAGATGCAATCAAAGAGGTTGGATTGCATGTTTAGTTACCGGTGAAACTGTTCAGATCAGATGTTTGATATTTGTTATTCCAGTACACACTGGAGCCTGACCTGTGATTTTCCGGGTTTTGTAACTTATAACGTCATCTCATCTCGTTGCTACACCAGGCTCTGCGTGTGATGGGCAAGCTGATGAGGGAGTGCTGGTACGCCAACTCTGCTGCGCGACTGACTGCTCTGCGGGTCAAGAAAACCTTGTCTCAGCTATCCGTTATCAAGGACATCAAAGAATAGTTAGATTTGTTGCTCTGCAGATCGGCACTGGTGCTGGCGCTGGTGTAAAATAATTGACCTCTCTTACTGCCCGAGACCGCCCTCCTTGGGACACAACCACACCGTCTGAGAGCTTCATCGTGTCGTCGTTGGTGCCAAAGTACTGTAGGAGTCGTTTTTTTTAAAGCTTTGCACTTAGACACCTTGTGAAGCAACATTTTAACCAAACAGCTAAACTCTTGGTAGGAAGAGCCATTTTAAATAAGTCGTGTTTGATGTATAAATAGATTATTTTGCTACCTCAGTATCATAAGTGCCCAAAGCTTGAAGTTGCACATTGATATTTGTGCCATATCTTGTAGCCAATACAGTATTGCTGGGTAGTTAATGTGCTAAATGACAATCTTGTAGGATACTGGATTTAAACGAAACAAAACAGCTGGTTTGACTGTTCTTTAATGACAGACACACATACAGATTTTCCCTGTTAATCAGAAGTGCTTCTGCTTGACCGGCACTCATGTACACAAAGCACTACTAAGCTTACAAGTAAAAGATCATCTTTAGCTCAATGCATCCAAGGTTTGCTAATGAAAAATTAACTCACAGGAATTGGATAATTAAGGGTGTTATAAGCAGAAGAAATGTAATGGAGTGATGAACTTTTCATCCACTGGTGCCAATGGTCACTACATGAAAAGGGTATTTCAGCATATAGAGTGCAACTTGAACTAATGAAAGTTTATCCCGACAAAGAAATATTTCTGACATTGTTTGATTAACCATAAAAATCACTACAAATACATATTTTTAATATAAAGATAAGAAAATCTATGAATGTCTATTCTATTCTTTTTCTAAAAAAAGCTTTCTGCTGCTGAACAAAAACGAGCAATTATCCGATAAATGTAAAATAAAACGTCTAAACAAAAGCCTATATATAATTCAAATCCATTGTTTTTATATAAACCTGACTTATTTTTGCATTAGGTGAAAAAGAAATTGGCAAAAAAAGCTGCCGAAGGTGCAAACGTAGCGCAACATGCTGCTGATTACTTTTACATACCACATAAGGGGAGCACAGTTTGAATATGGGTTCACATTAGCATCACTAGCACCACTGACTAACATGGCCTACAGAGCCTCGACATAAACAGGCTTAGAGGAAGTGCAGAAATCTGAATCTGCACACGATTTGTGCACACATGTGTAGGTGTGCTTGCATGTGTGTTTGAAATCATGCAAAGTGACTCCTTATTTAAAGCTGTGGATTGAAATAATCTGAACAATCGGTGTAGTGATTGTGAAACTGTGAAACATGACAAATATACACTGAGGCTTTTCATTCACATCCTGTCCATATGTTCATGTTTTTAGTTTCAGAGACAAGTGACATACTTCAATATCTGTGCTTGGTATCAGTGTTCGCCTATTTTGCAGTATGAAAGCACTTATTGTCAGAATGACTGAATAATATGTACTATCAGCAGTGTTGCCTCTGAAAATAAGCTATGTACAGTAGCCTGTTGCTCTCTTGGCAAAATGTGCAAGTCTTCAGTTTTTATTTCTGTAAAACTATGAGGTACTTTTTTCTATAATTACTGAAAATTAGAATGTTATTATTATTTATATGTTCTGTATTGTGTCTTATCTGCTTCTCTATGAAGACACAAAAAGGGACAGAAAGCAGATAGCAAAGCATATCACCGTGTGCAATTTCTGGTTTCTGATCTCACATATAATATAGAATTTTAAACAAAGTAAGACCTACTTTTGATTTTAAGCCCGCCATCATTTAAATATACATGTTTGATGTATCGAAAACTGTTTTGTGTTACTTCCTCATACTGCATTGTGTCGTCTCTTTTTGCACTATTTATTATCCATATAAAATGTGATGTCAGTGGGTAAATAAACTTTTTCACTGACTGAGCATCATTCATGACTTTGACAGAAAGATGGGATGTTTTGCTCTCCCTACATTTCAAGGGTAATTTTGTAAGAAATGACTGTGCAGAACTGCGCAAGTTACAGGGGCAGAATTTCCCGGAGCCGTTTATCTGAAGCTGATCTTTTTTTCTTTATCATCTTCCCATTCGCACTTTCAACTGGCGTGACTCATCTGCGTTTCTGTTCTGCTGCGCTTTCTGCATACGCTGTTAATGTCCGTTAGACAGAGGAAATAAAGCGCTGACACTGAAGCCATCAGCGCTACATGGATGAGTCAACCCCCTTTTTCTGTGTTGCATTAACAGATTTTTACAGTGAAGGCTGTCACGTAAGAGGAGGTCGCGTTGTGTCACTTCGGGGCATCAAAACACGCACATAAGAATTTAAAAGTTAGGTTTTAAAAGTATTTTTAGCTGCTTTTAATTTTTCATCAGCACCATCAGCGGAACAGACACGTTTATTCAACCTTTTGCTATAAAGTCACACCACCAGGCTACAAGCTCAAAACAAACCCAGCCTTGCTAAATTAACACAAAGACAGCTGTAATGTAAGCATTACAGCAAGCAAGGGACAAACGAGAGATCACCACAATCACACTCATTCATCATTCATCAATCATTTCCTGTGGAACAGGTTCTAGATACATCATACACATAACGCACAGTGTGACTGCAAATTTTCAACAAATGCGTGTCAACAATGTGTCAGTCATCTCTAAAAACATGAACTACTAACCCACCAGAGCTTTATCTTTCCGGCCTTGCGCTCAGCAAAGTCATTGACTACATTACTCAGAAACAAGAACGGGTCATCTCTTTCCCCTTATGGTTGAAGGTGATAGAGATAAAATAGAGAAGTCAAAAGGCACGTTATGGACGAGAGCCAGAGTTTAATAATTACTAATGGTTAAATACAGTAGTGGTGTAAAAACACAGAGTGAGAAGAGATGCTTGAACAACAACAACAAAAAAATGTTCAGTGCATCATGGAAAGACTTCAGCGGCCTGTTGCAACATGACGAAGGAATGGTCACTTCAATCTGAAATGCAGGCTTTGTAAAAATGGAAAAGTTAAGAACACATTCAAAAGTAGAGAAGATGTCTGAATCCAAACTGCGAGATGGTTTAATAGAAGTGGTGTTTGATAGCTTAAGACGCTGCCTCTCATTCTACTTTTAAATACCCTAGGAACCAAAAGTACTGTCTTTAAGATATGAGGGGGCCTGAGGAGAAGGATTTTAAATTCGATTCTGGATTTAAAGGGTAACCAGTGAAGTGAAATGAATATGGGACAATATCTTTCTAGTCCTAGTTAATACTCTCTTGGCTGTTCTGGATCACCTGAAGGCTTTTCAGTCATGAATAAATGCATGAGTTAGCTTTTCAGCATCACTTTGAGACAGGATGTTTCTAATTTTAGTGATATTGCGCAAATGAATAAAGACAGTCCTACATATTTGTTTAATGTGCTCACTGAAGGACATATCCTGATTAAAAAGGACTCGAAGATTTCTCAGTGTTGCTGGAGGCTAAGGGAATGCCATCCAGAGTAAGCATCTGGTTAGACACCGTGTTTCAAAGATTTTTTAGGACCAGGTACAATAATGTAGTGAATTTTGTGTCTTTGTATATGCTTTCACTGCATTTGGATGAATGTTTGGGATAAACGTCATGCTTAAAAATTAACCATTGCCAATCACATGCTTTAAAATTGGTACTGCATGTTATGAAGGACATGACCTGGCTATAAACTCTGGGTTGTTGAAAGTACAATATAAAGACGGGTAGTGCAAGATTTTGATACTCTACATAAATCAGTTTCCAACCCAATTATGCAAGTAATGGATTGAATGGAGCACACGGGACTTCAGTGTCCAGACGGTCTCGTGGTTATTTAGCAAACTGTTCCTGAGGGTCAGTGGGGCAGAGTGGGTTGCTGTAAGGCAGCCTGCTTCTTACATGGGCTTTATACAATGGAGTGTAAAGCAACTCTGTATATGTTTTAAAGGCAATGGTGTTGGCGAGAGAAAGAGGAAGTTTGTGCACCATAGCTTAGTTTTCTTTAACCACTGTCTGCACGCCTGCCAGCCTGCCTGTGTGTGTGTGTTTTTTTTTCTTTTGATCCAACCATGTCTGATGCCTTCGGCCCAATGACCCGTGCTGTCTGTTTAGGAAGCATGAAACTGGCCTTGAGCTAAATCAGCCTTTTGTCTGGCCCTATAAGACAAGTCTCCCTGCTTGGCAGAGCACAGAACACAGGCTTAGCCCCATTGACAAAACTGAGAGTGAGTGAGGCTGGAAGCAGGTGCTGCTGGAGAGCTGAGGTGGCCAGTTTCTCATGCATTGCTGATTTCTGACAGACCATAAATCAAATTGCAAAGACTGCTAAAAGAAAAGGGGACTGTTTGAAGGGGAATTCAAAAAGAAACAGCTTAAACACTCTCCTTGCTTTTTCTTTTCAAACCAACACAGAAGCACTTCTTGAGAAAAGACAGAAAAAAGTTAAAGGCGGTGAACAGGAAACAAGGTACGTGAAGCTGAGAAGTGCAGATGCGGTTTACCACAGCTATCACATGATGTGGATTTCCGCTTGATGCATTTGCTTTTGGCTGCACGGCAGGGCAGGACCACACAATCGCTGAAGAGCTGCTGCAGCAGGACACGATGCTGCTTTGAGGACTATTCTACCATGCACTCCATCATGAATATCAATGGACTTCAGCGCCAGGGCAGCCAGGAGAGTTACATTCTGGATAATACCCCAAAGAAGAAAAGTTCTCTGTGGTACCGAGCTTCACTGAGGGGGAACAGTGATCGGCACCGTCACAGCACTGGCTCACAGCCCAGAGTTTGCAAGGTGAGACAATATGTCAAGTGCAATACACGTATGTGTGTTTATAATTTCACATCAGTAAATACTCAGACTTCTGCTGTCTAAATCAAATAACCGAAACACTGATTTGCAACGTGGGATTACAGCTGAGATTTAAGCCGTAATGTGATATAGTTTCACCAATTTACGAGAAATAAACAAAGCAGCTCTCTGCAGCTCACCAAATAATTTTTAAATCTCTATTGTTATTTTTAAAAAACAACACTTTTATACTTTCTAGGAAGGGTTAAAAGTTTAAAAAGTGCCCTTTGTTGTTTTTAAAGAGGAACTCTGCATCTCTCTGTTTGCAGTCCAAGCCGGCTTACTCCAACTCACTGGTTGATTACACAGACCCACAACGGTAAATATATCAGAATTGATGTGCAACTTTTCATCTTTTTTCCTTTTATACGTGTAAAAGAAAAACTGTCTACTGGACTTTTTGTGCATGAACAGTTTATTACATTTCTTAAAAATTGATATTAATTAATAGTCGTTTGCTTTTTCTGCTTTTGCACAGAACCACGATTATTTTGGAAAAGCAAGACAATGAGACATTTGGTTTTGAAATTCAGGTAAGCAAACACTGAAGCATGCTTAAGTTGTGTGGGGGGGGAAAAAAAGGGTTGCTTTTGGCTCGCTTTTTTTGTGACACGTTTGTCTCTCTTTGCAGACTTACGGGCTGCAGCTGAAAAACAGCCCTGCAGTGGAGATGTGCACGTTTGTTTGCAAGGTGAACGAGGACAGTGTTGCTGAGAGTGCTGGCCTGACCGCAGGTGAGCCGCCCACATCCTTTCTACCGTATAGGCCCCGTTTGGGCTGCGTGACGATTGACAGATATATCGCTTACCACATATGTGAATACCTACATGCCTTCACACCTACGCCTGCAATCTCACGCACTGATGTGCACATGCAGTTTACAGCTATGTTGTGTAATCATAACCAATTCGTTCCTTATATTTCTGCATCCTTATCTTTTACAGGCGATATAATTGTCACGGTCAATGGCGTCAGCATTGAAGGCTCATCTCACCAGTGCGTGCTTGATCAGATAAGAAAATCCACCAACTGTCTAAAGTGAGTGACAACATTTATAACTTCCTAAATACTGCTAGAAAACAAAAAAAAGCACAACAGATGATAACTAAAAAGTCACTATAACAATAGTTTATAATAGGATTATAACAGAGTGTAATTATGTGTTATATATTCTTCCAGACTAGAGACTGTTTGTGGGAATATAGTGAAGCAGATAGAGTTGGAGAAGAAGATGGACGCCCTCAAGGTGAGTCTCTTAAATCCTGTCTGTGTTTGATGGTGACACCATTTAGCTGTGTGATGTAGGCAAAGAAAAAAAAAGAGCAGTCACCAAGCCATGCAGTAGTGAAGCCTCAAACGCCCCCAGCAATACTTTCTAACCTGCAGCTGCACAGCTGAATTACTCAGGCTATACTCTGCATGGACATTGTGTGCAAATATCTTTGTAGGCAAATGTTCTCAGTGAATTAGTTAAGAGTTTTACTGGAAGCACAAGTGTAATGTTTTTGTTGTCTTTTTTGCCCATACAGCAATCACTACGTGAGAAATTGGTGGAGCTGCAGGGCCTTAATTTACAGGAAAAGCGTCTAATGCGAGGTGAGAAGTATGCTCAGCTGTCAGACCACAGCACTTCCTTTCTCACAGCCATTAACATTTCTCTGAAGCATGTGCCATCGATGATGTGAATTGATGTGTAAACTCCAGATCATTCAAATGGCCTTCCCCTGACATATAAACATACAGCGGAAGTTGCTGATGAGCTTCCTGATACAAATTTCTTATCAGCTAACTGGGATTTTGTTGTGCTTTCAGGTAATTTAAACGACAGCAGTCTCGACCTCCTGATAGACTCCACAGCTATTTTGAGCTCCCCCATCAGGCGCTTGGGCCGGCGTTTTTCCAGTGACAGCAGCTACAGGAGTGTGATGACAGATGATAGTGACCAAGCCAGTGTGTTTGGGGACGTGATCTCACCCTGTCCCAGCAGTGCAGCCAGCACCACAGATGATAACTGCTTCTTCTCCAAAGACTTTCCTTCGCAAGACAGCTCTTCAGCTCACACATCGAGCTCCAGCAATCACCACCAACCTCTTGGCCGCTCCAGCAGCTCCAGTTTGGCCGGCAGCACCAGCTCTCTGTCTCCATCCTGGGAGGAAACAAGGATCTCGTCCTTGTTTGGAACCCTGCCCAGAAGAGGCAGGAGAACCAGTGTCCGCAAACACATTCTCAAGTTAATTCCTGGACTTCAACGATCAGTTGAAGAGGAGGAGATGGGAACAAACACTCAGTGATTCGCTTTCCAAATGCTCCTTGTGTCTATTCAGTATTAAGTGTTGGTAAACAGGGTCTGTCAAGTTCCTAACACATTACAAATAGAAACAGACAATGCAATCAAGTGTTTCGCCACACTTAAAAGCCTGGGTTAACCCTTCATGGGAATGCAAACAAGTTGGACACTTTTATACTGTATGCATTTACCCCTATAGTTCCTGCCTGGCTCGCTTGCTTGGCTTTAACTTGTGGCACAAAAGCATTACAAAAACAAATGCAGGCTGAATGAATGTAAACTGAACAGACTGTAAAGTGTGACAGATGAAATTATATATCCTACTTACTTGAATTCATTTTTTGTCATATTCACAGATTGTGATGAGCATTAATCGATTTAAGTCGCAGCAACTGTATCAATGTAGCCAACTTCAAAATTTAAAACAAACATGTAACCTAAAGCACATGAGAAGACATAAATCACTTATGACATATTCAGGTGCTCAAAACCAAAGCCAAGCCTCTACGCCCTATAGATAGCTGCTCAGCTCAAAAACAGGATGTGGGTATGAGAGTACTACTTAAGTGCTTTCATTTCCAAATTGTTTTTTCCGACTGTGTATAAGTTTCTTTCAGTATTCAGAAACACTGAAAGTAACAATTTCTTGTAAATTGTTGAAATTGCTGTAAAAATGTATCATTTATTTTCTGTGGCAAGAGTGTCATTAATGTCGATGATCCACAGTCTTTTTTCTTTTGTAAATAAAATCATGATGTACAGAAAATTCTTAACGAACAATAAACTTTTAAAGATGTTTCCAGTCACCGGTGCTTCCTTTTACTTTTCATGTAGCATTGCAGTCTCAATGTTGGTGAAGATGCAACTTTGGAGTGAGCCACACTCACTGAAAATTACTGGTGCAAGATGCAGGTAGTGAAAAAAATTACTGTGTCATTAAAAGATGAATTAATTGAAGAAATGAATACGGCTTTAAAACTAGTTGAGAAGAATTCATCTATATCCTGTAAAATAACTACTTCTGTTGTTTCAAGTTGCTGCTACAGAAAGAGGGCTTGTACTACAACTGATGGATAAATTGGAAAGGGTTGTTACCTTCACAAAGAAAGCAAGTTACCCCCGATACAATGTATCGCATTATTACAGCAGCTTCAAGGCCAGATGAAGCCCGTTTCCTAGATAATCCATAACAATTAAGTTGTGTTGAAGTGATGAAGTTGTATATGGTGAGAGAGATTTGGTGAATGAGATTACAAATCTGTTTGAAAAACAAAATAAACTTACGAGAGAGACAGCAAACCTTAAGAATGACGAAATAAACAAAATAGTTCATTGGGCAACTCGGCAACAACAAACATCTTGAAGAAAATGGAAAACAACACAATAAGAAAACCTCCTTCCCAACTTCTAACCATGTCAGAAACACACTTATGGAGCCAGACACATCATTGTCATAGTCTGCAATCAAAAGACAGACAGATGAAACTTAGATCAACTTGTACCAGAACAATGCAAAGAGAAAAATGTGGAGAAGGAAAGGAGCAGCTCAAAATCTGAAGTAAACCACACCATCTGTCAAACATGGTGGAGTAACAGGAAGTGTGTATACAGGGCTATCCGGTCGTTAAGTCTGACGTCACTAGCCGTGTCTGGGCCTAAACTCTGCTGCAGGTCCATATATCAAACGATCACTATGGCATTACTGAGAGTTGAAAAACTGTCTAAAGTCTTTCATCTTTAATAAAATGATCAGCGTTCTGCTCTACCAGGTGTAACAATTGAGTTTAACATCCAACAAGCTAATTTTTTTTCCACTCGATAAAAGTTAACGTGAGTGTTCTCGGTGGTCAGGAACAAATGTAATCGCATGGCAGGATGCTGTAAAAGGACCAAACTTCAGCCAGGAGAACAACTGAGATAATCCATCCACAATACGAGGTTAGTCATTCATATACTGCTGCATGGGCTGGGCTGTAGTTACATCCTAAGGTTTTAAAAACTGAGCTTAAATAAATGATTAGCGGTAATAAAAGCCGAGGGAGGTCAACAGTGATCACTGACTGTTTTAGGAGCTTTTTGAGATTAAATAGAAGAAAATACAAAACATTAAACATGTTAACAACACAAAGCCGTATTAAACGCAGACTACTTTAGGCCCGGAAGTAGGATTCGTCACGTCATCACTTAACGACCGGATACCCTACTCAGTCAAATGCTGCAAAAACTGATGGGATGGATAAAGATGGATATTAATAGATAATGACCAAAAGCATACTGCAAAATCAACCCAAGAGTATCAAGGCAAACAAAAAGGGTCTTTACAATGAGCAAGAAATTAGTGATCGAGTATAAAACTAAATGCTAAAGAGTCAACACAATACTTTTGTTACACCCGCTGAATTAAAATTAAAAGGCTGCACTTCAGTCATATCTTAAATGTTTGATTTAAAATCCACTGTAGTGGTGTAAAGAGGCAAAATGACAAAAACTGTGCTATTGCTCAAATACTTCTGACCTGAAGACGCAAGATCACTTTCAGCTTTAAATCATGTACAGACATAATCACTCTTTATACTATTAACAGTCTGGCCTAAAAAGAGCTACCTGCTATTGGTCAAAGTTTCCTATCATAGAAAAGCCACAGAGCAGATAAGGTGCAAATGTCTAGTTCCTTTTTGTAGTCCACTTGAATTGCAGTATGTTATAGCATATTAATGGAATTTCCACTTCTCTGTGGAATGAATCAGTGGTGATTTTACTGTAGGTTTCGTTAGCAATTTAGTTGTTCTAGAACCTTGAAGTCTTTATGTTCTTAAGCTGTTTCAGTGTGTACAAACTTTGTTGGTTCGGACTGTAAGCAGTGCATTGAAAACAGAATAACCAGAATGTTAATCTTGACTCAAAACATTGCAGAATGAAGGTGGTCACCAAGTACAGATTTAAATATGAGTACAATCGTAGGTCCCAGAGCCACAATGAACCTTTGTTTGGACTACAGCAAAGCCTCTGTTCTTTGGTGATTCAATACAAACAGAGATTTACATGGTACTAGCGGTACAGAGCCCACCACAGAGCCCGAGCTTGCATCGCTCATTGAAAAGCACGATGGATACTTTCTCAGTTGACTGACAAAGCAAAACAGGAGCAACACATTCGGACCAGCGGAGAAGGTAATGTGACAATACTTGTTTAAGTTGGGATTTAAGAGAAAGTGCATCAGAACTGATTTGCCATTTTCAACACTACTCAAGAACCAAAAGACAGATGGAGATGAGTGCAATCCCTCCAAATACCCCAAAACGCAGTGCAGAAGAAGAAGATGCACTGGCACCTCAGGTACTGGAGATTCTCAGTGGGATCAGCATTGAAGCCTTTAAGACTCTGAAGGAACCTGAAGATAGAGATGTGTGGACCCTGGAAGAGGGAGATGACTCTGTGTTTTACAGTGATGAGGAGCAAGCTCAGCTGAACATCGTTACTGCATCAACCGGCATCAAGTGCCGACATCTTGCAAACACTGTGGCAGATGAACCTAGCCATCAGAGAGAGGTAAAGGCAGGGGAAGAACATGAAGCCAATATTGCCAAAGAAAATTTAGACATGGGAATGGAAATGATCCATCAGATCACTTGGACCCAAGAAGAACCCCAAAAGTTTCATACGGCCAAAGCTAATCTAATGTTTGCATTAGACTCTGGGGAACAAGGTGCTGATTCTGAACAGACTCCAGGAGAGTTTATGAGAATGTGTAAGGAGTTTTTGCAGCCACACTGGACAACTGTAGAAATGCAAGCTCACCCTGAACAAAATGTATCAGCGGAAGAAGGTAAGAGGAATTTCATATAACTTCGCATTGAAATAAAAGTGGTCTTTGTTTATAGACTGTAAAAGAAAAGATTTTGTCTTTCGTTTTCTCTTTAGCAAATCGGCAAATCAAAGAGGAAGAAGTGGAACTAGAAACTCACACACCAGCCCTAAGCTTTGATGTACCTAATGAGGAGAGTTATGCAAGGCTGCACAGGGAGGCAAACTACCCAGACCAGCTGTTTGGTGCTGAAGGCCAGAAATCAGGTGCTGGTCGGCTTCAAGTGGATCAGAAAGCTGAGCAGGGTCCGAACTTTAATGTCCATGCTGGTCTTTATCAAAACCCCCACCCGGGTTACTCCAGCCTGCCTTTGGTAAAGAAATCTGGCTGCAGTGAGAGCCAGCATTCATTTAACCATCTCACATCTACCAAGTACAGCACCGTGTCCTATCGCAGGATCCGCAGAGGCAACACCCGTCAGAAGATAGATGAGTTTGAGTACATGACAATTAATCACTAAGAATCTGGTTTCAATGTCCATCTAATGAAACCGTAACAAAAAAACAAAACAAAATGAACATGTGTGCTTTGCAGTTTACACAGAAATATCCAATGTAACACCCCATTATGTGCAAACCTTACATGCATACATAACAGTCACGGTTAAGGTACTTGGCTCAATAGAGCGAAAACATCTCATATTTGTATAGAAAACCGTTGATTTATGTTGTTACTATTGGCTATTGAGATTTTTGGTATGAGAAATCCGGTGTTAAAAGTTTTAAATTCCTCAGAAGTAACCTCAGTAAATAACTATTAAAAAGAAATTCAAATGGCAGATGGAGGGAAATAACAAAATATATACTGTTGCACATTCATCAACTTGTTATTATTTTCACCTACTTTCACCAAAAATGCATTTTCATTCATGTCTTTTTCTTGAAATGTTTGTGATCATGTAATAAACTCATGAAATCAGAGCACAGGTTTATTGAGTGTTTTGAAGCAACACTTCCCTCTAGTGACAAAAACAAAATCATCAAGTTTTCACAGCAAAACCGACACATAAAAACCCCACAAAAGCAGCTTTTCCCCCCAAATGACCGCTCAAAGCACACATCTCATCTCGAGATATTTAAAAAAAAAGTGTTTTACACAAACAGCTTCATGCAATTTAACTCATTATTTAGTCCCAGCAATGATGAATCTATAAGGCACTGTTTAACCTTTGATCTTTGTAAATGTTTTACTAAAGAACTGAAGTGTTAAACAAAGATGTCCATCTGAATCTCACTTTTTCCCCAGGTGATAGTGTAGAGGATATTATTTTTTTAAATTACTAAGTCCCTGTCCTTTGGCACACAATCCCACATCAGTCACTTAAAAAAAAGAGAAAAGAAATCATGCTTATTAATGCCCCCAAAACGCTTCTTTTGTACCCTGGAAAGTCCTGATTTGAGGCTGGACCACGGACCGTGCTGTAGCATGAGGCCACTGAAAGTTTTTTGTAGTGCATTTTTATCACATAAAACTCATTTCAGTCTCATCCACTACACAAGGTAGTTCGTGAACTGCCACTTCTGGAAGCTACTGCTGGGTTCACAAGGGTTGAGACGAAGGTCGTCACTCCTAGGTCCTGCTTCCAGGCACATATGGTTGGAAACAAACTCTGCTATGAGGTGCTCCGCCTTAAATACAAAAAAAAAAAAAAAGGGTGGGAGGGACATGAATGCAACTCTTGCATCTAAACACTCCTTACGTGGATTTAAAGGAGGCCAGCTCTGTGGTTTGGACTAAAGACAAAACAAAGATATTGTACAAAGCAAATGGCACACCCTTAGTCAACCTACCAGAGCAGAGTTGGAGGATTTGTGGAACCAGCGGAGCTCAGGCTTGGTGCCGTCACATGACCGTAAAGCAAACCTATTGCCGCTGCCTTGGGCAGCAACACACAGGTTCTGCTGCTGAATGTGTTTAATCCAGGTGTAATT